CCCCAGCCAGTATACTGGCTGGGGAATTCTGGGAGTTGAAGTCCACACATCGTAAAGCTGCCAAATTGAGAAACACTGATCTGTGGTCTAGCAGGGCAGCCAAATCCTTTCCCTAAGTATGACTGCTTAACCAGGTACCACCTATTCTGTATCTATTCATCTGGTTTTTCCTACCTAATGGTGGACTTGAAACTGGGTCTCCACACCCCTAGTCCAACACATTTACCGCTAAGTCAAACTGGTTCTCTCCGATGAGAATTAAAAAAGGGTGAAACCATTGTCAGTTAAAGGGCATTTGCAAACAACTTGAACAACCTACTCAACCCAGATTTCAAATACAGCCAGCCCCTAGCTTCTTCCAGTGAAAGGAGAAATTCATTTTCCTGCCAGTCTTAATCAGGACACAATCCAAAAAGAGTCTACTTTTGATCCCCATGTCCGTTAAATTGCATCAAGTCATTATTGGGAGCCCCTAAAGCACAGGTGGGGAGGTCAAAGGGCATCCTTCACCATGGGAGGGGCAGGCCAGGGGTAGTCTGCCACAGACATAATAAAATGGACCTCACACTAGGGCCATGCAGGCTTAAAAATGGTTTGGAAGAAGTGTTCTGATCCATGCAAACCCCAATTCTATGCCTCCTTGCTATTCATTAAAGCACCCCTCCTCCTCCTCAACCTTTTGTGAGGCTTCCACACAAGCCTGACAAAAGAGTTGCATCTGCTTCAAAAGCACTTTTGAATCGTCTATGAAGCATGCACACTCCTACGACACTTTTCCCATGTCTTCCATCCTCCTCCGCGTTCAACTGCAGTTAGGTGATCACTTTCCGGGGGGGGGGTTGGAGGTGCACCCCCATTTTGGAAGGTGGCCCTTGTGTTCCCCTGTCCTGAAGGGTCATGTCTCCCTTTAGCCAGGGCTAGACAGTTCTTGGTCTCAAAAGAGCCTCTTGATCGTCCAAAGAGCCTGGTGTGAAACAAACAGAATTCAGAAATTCTGAAGAAAGGACTTTCCTGCCTGCTGAACACCCCAGATATATTGAGTATTTCCAGCTGAAAGGAAAAAAGGTAGCCACTTCAAGTCATGCTTGACTCTGTCTGATGTTATGTTATGATGTGCATTTTCTGCAGAACGTGAAATAGCCTTTCATTGCCACCTCTTGGGAATTTTTTATACTTCCTCGTCTGATCTCTCATCCGAGCACTAATCAGGGCTGAAACTGCTTAGCTTCCAAACCCAAACAAGGTCAGCCAGATTCTGCCCCTTGCTCAGTCAACAGGAAAAAAGGAATATATAAACGTTCAGTATCACCGGCTCAGTCAGCTACATCCATTTTTACAGTCATCCAGTTCTCTTAATGCAGTTGAGTCACTCAATCTAATTTTTCTATGGCTGCTTTCCCCAATCTTGTTCTCTTCCAATGAGGTGGGACTTCTATTCCCAGAATTCCCAATCAGTACAATCCAAGGGAATTCTGGGAATTGCAGTTCCAACATACCTGAAGGACCCATACTGGAGAAGGCTGTCTTATGCTATGCTATGACCACCATTCTGGCTGGAGATTATTTTCAAGAAGAACTGGATTATTTTCAAAAAGAATTGGAATCTATGTTCTCCATATATCCTGCTCCCCCCTTAATTTCTTGTTGGAAACTGGAGCAACTACTATTTAGTTACTCTAGGCTGTTCTTGGAAGAAGTCTGCATTCACAGAAAGGATGTTCCACTATTCATTTCCCACATCATGGACACAAACAGCATAGGTCAAAATGCTAAACGTTATAGGAAGAGAAAAGTCAAGGGGAAGAACTTGAAAAAGGGGTTATTTTTTTACCTACTTTTCAAGGACAGCCCTTCAGATCGTCTTCAGGTTTCTGACATGGCAATTGTCAGAAAACAATACCCACCGAGAACAGGTGCAGAAAAATAAAGATGGTGGCCAACGCAAGACGGAGAAACATAAATGCACAAGAAAAGAAAAATAAATTAATATAAAAGGCACTGAAAACAATGGAGAAATAAATCTACAGCATTTGAAAAAAAAAAGTGACTTCCAAAAACAGAATTTCCCAGTGAGTTTAAAAAAAAAAAAACCATGATGAAAACAGAATGCTTGCTTGAATGTAACAAAAAATAAGCAAGTTGGGTAGAATTAGAGGGATAATGGACACAGAGTAAATACCTACCTGTACATGGGAACAGTGACTGTTCGCTCGTAGTAATTCCAAGTAGAGTGCAAATCAGTTCGAGTGAGGTTAGTGGCGTAGAACCTCCAGGCAGCCTGATAGGGGACAGGAAGGAGATGCGGATGTAATTTCAAAAAACTAAACAAGCAATGAAGTCCCCTTAGATTTTGCAGAGGAGAAACTGCATCGTCGGGACCTCTTGATTTACTTACAAAACTGAACATGCAAAGCAGAGTCAAAACTGAAGAGTCAAAAAAAGAGTCAACAAAGGGTCAAAACTGAAGAATCAGAACAAAACAAAAAGACCGATTCAACTTCACAATATTTCCATTGGGTTAAATATAAGTTTGATTGTCATATTTAGGACCACAAATGGGGTACAGCTTTGGACAGTATAACGGATTAAAGCAGTGTTTCCCAACCTGGGCAACTTGGAGATGGGTGGACTTCAACTCCTAGAATTCTTAATGTTGGCTGAGGAATTCTGGGAGTTGAAGTCCACACATCCTAAAATGGCCAAGGTTGAGAAACACTGGATTAGAGGCTCATTCCATTGGATATTTCGATGTCAACTGAAGAGGGAAGCCATGTATAGCCCTGAGAATAAACTTCCTGCTCTGCGAAAGAGAGATTTGATCCCCAACATTTCCAGGCCTGGGGGGAGGGGGACTACAAAATATGGAGAATCTTGTTATGAAAAACCTTCCAGCTACTAATATTGTAGACTGGCTCAGTTTGAACTTAGGCTAAGCCATGGTTTCTTTATTCACAATTTATTGAATAAACCACAATCTGCTGAATTCATACAAGCCTTAAACCATGTTTTACAAACTGTGTGGCCCCAGTTGTTGAACTCAGGACAAAAATGTGCCTTTTGTTTTGAATGTTCTGGTAACTGTACGATGTGTGGACTTCAACTCCCAGAATTCCCCAAGGTTGAGAAGCACTGGTGTAGACAAAGCAGTTATGAACCATCCAGAGTCCCTCCTTGTGGGGGAGTTGGGCGGTGATATAAATTTGACAAACAAACACACAAATAAATAACCAGGGTAGAAAATACTGCAATGCTAGACTACAGGCAGCCTAGAGGGCCAATCAAGTAGATTCTCCCACCATCTTTTCAACAACAGACCCCCCAGCTCCACGCAACATCTTGTTATTAAGCATGCAACTGATAACCTTCCTTTTCTACTGCTCTACTGATAATTCAGTACATTTTGATATAGGAGATTGTCCCACTGATCTGTCTGTTGCAATCCTCTGGGCAGTTCCATAGCATTAATAGATTCTCCTTCAGCACCTGCTTGGGATCCACTTCTCTCTCATCACAGATCCAGCCTTTCCTGAGCCCCCACCCATTCTCCCTGCTCACCTGAATCAGGCCAGCTGCAGGATTTCTCCTTTTTTCAAAGTGCTTTTGACGATGCTGCTCTTGAACCTTCAGTGCAAATCCAGAACCTAGAATTCCCTGAAAATTAAGCACAATATTATTTCCCATTAAGTTGGTCAACTATTTTTCTCTTCTACCCCTTGCTCCTGAAGATAACAGGCTGTATTCCTTGGAGAATTACAAGCATGCAAGGAAACTCCATGTGTCTACAAGTGTTCCTCAAGAGCTGAAGAAAAGATCTCCTAGAAAATTAGGGGCAATGGATCTTACCTCTCTGCATCACAGTCAATCAGTTAAAGCCCACAGTAAAAAAAATATATATAGGAATGCAAGTCTTCCATCTATACCAAGAATCAGATTAGGCAATACTTGGATGAGTGATTGAAACATTACTTTGTAAGTGTTATCACCACTGTAACAACCCAGTTAGATAGCTTGGACCAACTGACTTCTCACAAGCCTGCCTAAGAGAAGTTCTATCTTGTGTCTTCTTGCCAGGAGATTGTAAGCCATCTTGGGAAAACTTTTGCTTGGAAAGGAAGTATAGAAACTTTCAATAAGAAAACTTTCTTTCTACAGAAAGAAAATATAGAAACATTCTTAAACTAAAATAAAAAGTTTCTTCTGTTTTTTTTAAAGGAAATTTCACTTAGCGACATTGTTGATTGTTTTTAGGTCAGCAGATTTTATTCTTTTAAGGTTTTCATGAATTTTTTAACTTGTTTCATGCTGTTATACAGATCTCTATTTATATATATTGTCCTCAGCTTTTTCTTGAATGCATGCTTAGGGTTTAAAATACCTTCAGAGCTCTTTGGAAATCTGAATGAAATTATACAGCATTGAAAACATGTTCACCACTGGCAAATATTATAGAAACAGAGAGAGAGAGGGAGGGAGGGAGAGAGAGTACATAGATAGATTCAGCTTCATCACTGAGCAAGGCACAGCTCCTACTTCCAAGGAAAATGGGGTGTTTTAGACTTGCAAACCATCCTGCAGGCCCTTCTTCTGCAGACCAGAGACAATCCAGATGGTTTTCATCCTAAGTGAGATACAGAACTGGATATGGTTTGGGTTTCTTTCCAAGCAAAGGGGGCTGCAGAGGATCCTACTTACTGCTGGGAGGGCAAAAAAGGAAACCCCAATCAAGGTGAAGGTTGCTGCCAGGAGACGCCCATTCCAGGTTTGTGGATACTTGTCCCCGTAGCCAATGGTGGTCAGAGTAATCTGAAGGAAACCAAAGATCATTTTATGGAATCTTCAAAGTTAACATGGGTGCAGGAGTGGAGCCAAAAGAATCTGCTGCACGTATGTCAGCCTAGGCATTAAAAACAAGCATTTGAGGTTAAATAATGGTATGTGGGAATGACTGTGGGAGGCAGGGGAAGAGCTGGAGCCAGGGGAACAGTTGGGTAAGAGGCAGCTCAGCCCACAGCAGGAATGTGGATAGGGCAAGAGGCTCAGAAGGGACCCTCTCTAGTTTCTCGGGCTGTCAAGGTGAGGAGGGAGAAATGTATTTTCAGACTTGCAAGATTCTGTTAACATAACCTTACAATAAAGTAGAATTAGTTCATCTGGGCGTGCTTCCTGTCTGAACTACCTTGCAAGGCTGTTAAGCAAAATAAGTGCATTAAGAGGACTATTTCGTACTTTAAAAGAAGAGGGGGGAAACGCACTGCCAAAATATGGCAATTTGCCACTGAATTTCATCAGCGTGATCTTCAGGGATTGGGGGAGTAGCAAAAACAATTCACTGAATTGCCCACCGCTGGCCATGTCCAGCACCTGTCTCTGAATAAGAGAAATCACATTCCATAATAATCTGCCTTTTGTAAAATTCTTCAATTACTTTTAACTATCTTGAGCCTGAGCAGTTTCATACTGGAACTGTTGCCTTTCAATCCACATTTCATTTGCCTGAGATCCATCTGGGTCACCTCACCCTTTAATGCATAGCTTGCTACGTAACTGAACACTGTTTTTTCCTTTCAAACCTGGGAACTGTTTGTTTTCAATTCATCTCTACCGATAGCCTTGCAATTAAGGCTAAAACTAGTTACCTGAAGGATCAAGACAGAAAATTGGAGTAGAAAAACGACAAAGGGACAACTAACTTGGATGGATAGCTTCATTAACTCTTCTTCTGTTTGTTTCCTAATCAGATCATTTGCACCCAGAAGAACAACGGAAGAAAAACATTTCTGTACTAGGGCCTTCTTATCACCAAAGCTTAATCCACAAAGCTAAATTAAGCTAAATTAAGCAATGCCACAGCTATTTATTGAACACTTACAATCAGAGAGTCAAAGGCATGTGAATGTGCATGCATTATATAAATATACACGTATGTGTGTGTATGTAAGTGTGTATGTGTATGTGTATGTATGTGTGTGTATGTATGTGTGTATGTATGTGTGTGTATGTATGTGTGTATGTATGTGTGTGTATGTATGTGTGT